TAGCTAAAAGAGTTGAAAAAGCTTTTCACAGCAGTAATTGAAAAAATACCTCGTTTCAATACAACACATAACAATTTATACATTATTTACTACTAATAATAGGGGAGCCCAAGCGGGGATTTCGGGATTTATTAAAGCGCGGCAGATTGATATACAGGGGGATACCTTGTACCCGGTTTAGTACCTCCACCTCCTCTATTCTTTATTCACTTTTTCTCTATCTATTACTCCCTCACTCCGTCCCCACTGCAGTAACGTTAGTTACAAATGAAAGTGGTGAAATACATATGAAGTTTCATTTCTCTTTTCTTCATTAATTAATCAATTGATCATAAAAAATGAATTTTTTTGAGCATTTTTTTTATATTTTCTTACAAGTATTCTACTTAAAAAACATAAACTTATTTATTTGCATGTTATTTCCTGATCTTTCTAATTAATCAAGTTCAATGAATAAAAACATTTTAAAAAAATATTGTTTTTGTCAGATTAAGCGAATCCCTCTAGACAATCGTCAGATTATGAGACAGCACGTCTAAAACACAACGATGAACCATATATATATCTTGATCTGACGCGCTTGAGTATTTCAAAATGGCGAATTTTTTTTGCACATTATAATAATGGCCGCGAGTTTGCGTCAGATCGAAATCGTCAGATTATTGAATGAGAGCTTTTTTGTTGCACTCAACACCCCCTTAGAAAATCTGACGCGCTCGATTAATTTTTTTCTCTTCACTTTCAACCCTTACGTACAACCACCCACATCATGCAAACGATCAGATTAATCTATAGCCGCTTCCCCCACTGATGAAAAGGTATATTTCATATATAATTTTTTTCTTCTTGTCGTCTAAGCTTTGCAACCTAATATATCTCATGGGCTCCCCTGCTATAAGTGAAACTTCAATGATAATAATGATAATAATGATAATGATGAAGAGATGTTCAAAACGTCTCACAACTTCTACGTTTTAAGCCCAAATAATTAGTTCGAAAAGAGTGGTAAAAGCAAATCTTTGCATCACTGCCGCTTCCAAGTCGTATAATTGGTCGTCAATTCAAAAATGACATCTTTCAACCTTATCCAGAGGTAAAAGTCCATAGGCGTTAGATCGGGTGATCTGGTCGGCCAACGGTTGGGACCTTGGTTGGTTATCCAATTATTACCAACATTTGCAGCCAAAAAATTAGTGAAGATTGCAGTGCTGTGAGGTGGAGCCCCGTCTCGTTGAACACACATTTTTCTGAGATATATTAGTGAACATTCATCAACAAGAGGTTCAATATTCTGCCTAAAAATCAAACTCTTCTGATGCTTTATGGCTTGAATTTGTGTTTTTTCAAAATTCTACTAACGTAAGTTCTCGATAAGCCCGTTGATATTTTCAAATTTCGTGTTAACGTTTTGGAATTATTCTCAACAGCTCCTAAAAAGACTATTTATTTCAATTCCTTATCCCTATGTCATGAGATTTTGACTTTTCTTTTCAAATTGACCAGCATCAATTAGGTTGTGTCGCAATCTTGCGAAGGTTGTCTTCTCTCTGGATACTTCTCGTGATGAAAATTGCTTGCAGCTTCTGCATTTTCACCGTTTTGTATAAAACAGACTATCATATCCCGTTCTGTTTTATTGCTCCAAATCCTACTTGATAAAATTGTGCATTTTAATGTCTGCATGACACAACCTAATCTTGACAGATTGCTGTAACTCAGAATCGATGATAGATATCGATATGCGGTTTTCATTATTGAGTTTGTCAAATTTGACCTTCAGACACAGCCATCAATTTACATCTATCTAGTTTGAAAACAGGAGTTTCCTTCTGAAAGTGTTCAATTTGACCCACTCTGTACAACCACATTCAAGTAGAATTACACTATTCATTAATGCGTCTCTACAGAGATGTACATATATTTAATGCACAAGAAATTATACTTCAGGGAATCCCTTAATGGACGTTGTTGGTTTATATTTTCATTTCAATGGGTTTTTGAGGCCCTTGTAAACATATTCCGTCTACTTTGTAATTTTCATGAGGAGAGAAACGGTTCATTCGTTGTTTTAGGAATGCTCCGTCCACAGAATTGAGGTGAATTTACTGTACGTGCCAGATGATTGCTTGAACTTTTCGACTATTTTATATTCTCATTTGTGAAATATCAATGAAAATATCAACTAAATTAGTCAAGAGTGAATATCGAATGAGCACCACAGGGATCGTTTAAATATCTATTTTCAATTTCCCTCTGAAAATACTGAATGTTTCCATTTTCCTGTCGAAAAAAGTGGCAAAGTGAAGCTACTTTTTTTTCTGAAGAAGTCGTTTGAAGATTTCAAGTGAAATTACTGCCAGACTATAGAAATAGAAAGTAACAGTTGAAGAATACAGGTTTTATAGAGGGTTTATTTGAGAGAGAAAATACATAAAACCGACAATTTTCAGAAGTTCTCAGAAACAGCTGCGATATCAAGTATTTTTTTCAGAAATATCAGAATTATCTATTTCATTATGAAAACAGGAGAGTTGTACAAAAAATTTTGCATGATATTTGTGTTGAAAGTGAGTTTTATATTGCTCAACTCGCTACGGTCGTTTCGTGAACTTTTTCACCCACAAAATAAAACCTCACTTCCAATACTCATATTATAAATTACAATTATTGACAACTTTTGAAGCGTGAATAGAATTTTTCACACTGTTCTATCAATATGTTTGATATTCATACGGAAAATGCGTGCCTTCTTTTAAAATTTCTAGTTGAATAATAATGATTATAACAACAATACCCAAGAACTTCAAGAGAGAAGTAGGGCACCAACGTTAAAATGTTCTTGGTGGATATAATGATGATAGAACTGAAGCATCCAAAAGGAATTGAAGTTATACCTCAATCGATTATTCATTTGGAGGACAAATGCTATCAAAAAAATTCAGAAAGCAGCTACTATATTTCTATTGTATTCAAATAATCACCTTTTTGCAACATCATTCAAGTCGGGTGATCTTGCTGGCCAATAATGTTCTCAATTACTTCCAATAACTTTGTCTCTGAACATTTGTTGAAGGGACTGTTTTATAGCAACCGTGTGATGTATTGGTGCGCCATCAAGCTGGTACTATAGGTCGTATTTAATATTTAAAGGCATATTATCTAAAACTTCACTAACCTCATTATTTAAAAGGTTGAGATAACCGACGGATGATAAATTTTCCCTAAAGAAAAATGGCCCAATTATTTGGTCGTTAAGTATCCCACACCATACATTAGTTTTGAAGGAATACTGATTACCACATTCAACTGTGAAATTGGGATTTTCTTGGTCCCACCATCAGCAATTTTGAGAACTTACCGTTCCATTTGAAGAGAACGTTGCCTCATCTGTCCGTAAAATTTTATACGGAAACTATACATTTTCTTCTCTCTCTCCTTGAAACCAGAATGAAAACCCAAAACGGACAACAAAATCTCGTTCTTTCAATGTGTTAATTCGCTTTCTCTCTTGTAATCGGTATTTTTTATAATATCAGTTATATCAGTTATGCTCGTTTGCCCGTGTTCAATAACTTTTAAACAAATGTTAAGTTGGGCCTCCTCATCATATTTACTTGGAGTGTGCTTTTTCTTAAATTGATTTGCTACGGATCCTGTTTCTCTGAATTTCGACATGGATGTCGTTCATTGAGAATGTTAGCTACTTGCCGGTATAGTGTTTTCTCACTACATAACAAAACTATTTCTATTCTTTCCTGAAGAGACAACATTATTGCAACAATAACTGTCAAACATTTGGCAAGTAAATCAACAACTTGACACTACCATAGCATGCATTTTATTTGTCAAGACCTACTTAAAAATATTATTCAACCTGATTAAGCATCCTTACCGCCCTACTAAGTGTTTATAAATAATCTGTAAATACTGAATATTGAAATTTTAATGTAATTTCAACTCTAGTAATTTTATTAATACTTATTGCAGTTTTTGAGAATCAGAAAAGTTAAACTCCATGACGAGTTTGTTATGTATACATGAATTGATGACAATTAACCGAGCTTGTTTTTTAAAATAAAGGGGATATCTGTCAAAAATAAGCAAAACGTTAACTTTATCCTAGTTGCATAAAATTTGACATATGGATATAAAATTGCCGTAGACACAACTTTTTCAAGTAACTTTGTTAAATTCGATCTAGAAATGCACTATTTCAATAAAAAAAATTGAATTTGACAAACACTGAACGTCAGTGGATCGCAGTTCGCCGCATCATTTCAAGTTGAATTTAAAGCACAAACAAGTGCCGAAGTTAAACTTCATTGAAACTTTTCGAAAAAAAAGTTTACGATATGGTGCGCACTTTAATGGTGACACTGTATACACAATGGAAATTCATTTCCGTATGTATAATCTCTCCTTTTTGAATGTTAATTCATCTGGAAAACGTGTCTCTTATATAAAATAATGAAAATCATGAAGCGGAATGTTTCCTTCATGTGAAAAATTATAACTTCTACTGAATGAATGATATGTATTCAAAATATCACTTTCTCATTACTGTTTTTTGTTATATTTGGACTACTGTATGTAGCCCATTCAACTGAAAAGCACGTCAACTACGTCTAGTGACATTTTTGCAGAAATTCCCAATAGAGCCAGTAATGATCCTTCCGCTATTTATTCAAATGCAAATTATGTGTTGCCGATTATATTCTGTTCTATACTATCGAAGTTATGAAAAATTTTTCAGTGGGAATCTGTGGAATTAGGAAGTTGAATCAATCGTTTATTGTAAGAAATGATGCTGAATGTAACCAGTAAAAGGTATTCAAAAACGTTTTGTCATATTTCACCGGTACTTTAATGTTTTATTGAGGAATACATTATGCAAATCAGTACATTGATTCTGGAAACCACTTTCCTAAATGGAGTTCAAGTTTCATTCAATCATTCAATCAAGTTATTTCAATCATTTCTGATGAATCATTTGATTTCAGCGAATGGGAACGGTTCACGGGGAGGAGTTACCCTACATTTTTGGCGCTCCCCTCGTAGATGGATTCAACCACTTTCCCAAAAACTATACTAGATCTGAGCTGGCTTTGGCTGAATCCTTCATAATATATATTGCCAACTTTGCCAGAACTGGGTGAGTATCTCTTTGTGCTTTATTGTAAGATCTTTTCCTTCAATTTTATTAGTTCAACCAAGAAAATAAACGACAATATTCGACTCATATATTTGAACTACAGATGACCAATAACATTAAGACTTGTTCAGGTTAGGAGATTTTAATTAGTGAAGTCTGATATGTTGTCGTTCCAGTAACACTTTGTGAGATTTCCAGTAAATAGTTTACAAAACCGCAACAAATATTTGTCTCTAACTCATGGGCTGAAAACGATTTTTTTTCAAAATTGGCTTTATTCATCAACGTCATCCATATCAGGAACCACATAATCATTCTCTAACAATTCAGTACCACTTTTGTTGAACGATTCATTTTTGCCTCAAATTCGGCCACAGTTTCAGTAGAAACCCCTCTATTCGAGCGAAATTCCTTACGGATGAGATTTTTTCTTAGGTCTGCGAACAGCCAGTAGTTATGGAAGCCAAATCTGGCGAATTTGCTGGATGATTGACTTGTGACACGTTGCCTTGTCTGGACGAAAAACATTTTTTTTTCTTTGCCATATGCGGTCATTTCTCTGCAATTTCGGCCTTCAAACGCTTCAATAACGCTATATAATATTAACTGTTGATTAGTTGTTGATTTGTAACATTGAGTTTCTCGATAGACCATTTCAAAATGATGATATTATTTATCAATCATAATAATAATGATAATAATAATAATGATATTATTTATCAACCCAAAACTTCAGGTTTCCAACTTCAAAACTGAAGAAAACTTTGAACCCCTTTTTTCCTCTTTTAGGGGAGAAAATTTCTGATTCTTTTTCTTGATGCTTATATACGCTATACAAAAAACCTACCTGCATATTTCAAGATTCTAGTTTTGACAGCTTCGGCTGTACGTTAATATAAGAGTGTTATTCAATCAATAGGTACTCACAGTACCCATTTATACAATATTGAATAGCATCAGCAAAAAAAACTGAAACGATTACAATGAAATACATTCGTTATCCTATTAATCCAACTTCTTTTAACATCATAAATGCGTAAAGTTTGTGAAAATGAATGAATGTAATGTATATATTTACGTTTTTAATTTTGCATGCCTAAACAGTTCAACGGATTCAAATGTAAGTTGGTATCGTATAAGTGGGTACATATTGATTGACTGGCTCTCTTTTATTATCGTACAGCTGAAACAACTGAACCTAGCATCTTGAAATACGCAGGTAGGTTCTTTGTATAGCATAAATGAGCAGCAAGAAACACAAGGAGGAAAATGGCGGTTCAAAAATTGTACTGAATTTCATCATTTTTTCAAATTGGAAACTTGAAGTTTTGTATTAATGAAAAAATATTGTTAGTATGCGTTCAAAATGGTCTGTCACGAGACTCATGTGACAAACCAAATTTCATGCGGGCGAAACCGGGGGCAACAGCTAGTGATTTATATTTTTTTTTTTCAAAAAATACAGTAACTGAAGAAAAATGCCAACTGCACTGATTGATAAAAATCTTCGAGAATCGAATTGTTATCTGTAAAGAAATTTTGCAAAACTAAAACAACCATCAACGACGTCTGTTTGGTGTTGGGAAAAAATTCTAGTAATATTCATTACTACACCAAAGTTTCCAAACAGTGAATCACAAATAACAATTGTTGATACAATAAAGTATAAAATACTTACATGGAGAAGAAATTATTTCAATCAATAATGAAGAACAGAAGATTGTCACATGTTACCAATGATCAAATGGTTACAATGACATGTTAATAAAAATGAAAAATATTTTCCAAAGGTAGCGAAAACAACGGAAGTTTGTCACATCATATCTAGCAAAGATTGAGCTATGGGAGGTTTGGAGCCTTCATACTCACTCATTAACATCAAAATAATTAAACGGTACATGGAAACAACTCATAATAGAATATATCTAAAATGAATTGAATGGGAAGAATCTACTGTCAAGGATATATGAAGAGATGAAAATCGAGATGACATGGAACGATGACAAGAGATTTGCAAACACAGAACACAACAGGAGAAGGACCACCGCATACATATTGACTCGTGTTCTGAGTAAACGGATACCATACCATCTGGCGTGGAACTATATACCACCCAGTTGGTTGGCAGCAAGGGTGGTATATATACCAAAAGTGGGCCGGAGAGACCCACACCCCAAATCGGTACGACCAATCAGCCTTACATCCTTCCTGCTGAAAGGACTTGAAATGATACTGGATGGGCATATCAGGAGGGTAGCAATATATGCATCTCCACTGAATAACCACCAGTACATATGCTTATCAAATCAGCATATCGACAGATTCGGCATTAAACCACCTCGTTGAGAAAATCTCCCAATCCCTTGACAACAAGGAGATTGCGAACGCTGTATTTCTTGATATTGAAGGAGCATTTGACAATGCACTACCTAAATCTATAGGATTGTCTCTGGCTAGGAAGGGTATAGAATCGACCATAACTGCCTGGATCTATGCCATGCTATTAAATAGAACTGCAACTACGACTCTTCAAGGCGAAGCTATCAGGTTCAGGGTCACCAGGGAATGCCCTCAAGGTGGGGTACTATCTCCCCTTCTGTGGTCGCTTCTGGTGGATAGTCTGCTTGATGCCCTCGACAGAAGAAAAGTTGATCTGCAAGCTTATGCAGATGACCTTGTCATCCTGGCAAGGTCCAAGTCGAGAATGGTAGCTTGTAATATCCTCCAAAGCGCGTTGGACGTTGTTCACAGTTGGTGCCTGAGGGAGCAGATGTCTATCAACCCCAGCAAAACTGTGTTGATCCCCTTCAACAAGAGAAGGAAATTGGACGATCTAACGCCACTTTCTCTCAATGGTGTCGTCATTCCATTTGGAACGGAGGTGAAATATCTTGGCATTGTCCTTGATGAAAGGAAAAAGGAAATATTAAGAGCAGATAGCTGTTGGTTCACAGATGGATCAAAAATACCTTCCGGTTCCGGTGCAGGTGTTTTCAGTCACAGACCCAGGACAGAGTTATCTACCTGCCTAGGAACTTATGCGACTGTATTTCAACCGTAAATTCACGCGATTGAATTGTGTGCGGAGAGATTGGATAAATTCAACCTCACTCACAAGTCAATAGAAATATTCTTGGACAGTCAAGCGGCGTTGGAAGCTATTGACTCCCACCGAGCAACGTCTAAATTGGTAGCAAACTGCCAAAAAAGACCCTCCTCGATAAGAAGACTAAACAGATTATCTCTGGTCTGGATTCCTGGCCATACTGGCCTGGAAGGCAATTAAGCTGTTGACTCTCTTGCAAAGGAGGGTGCTGCAAGCGGTTTCATTAGATCAGAACCTGTCATTGGCAGCGCTTTGGACTTTGCCAAACAAACACTTAACACCTGGATAGCAAGAGGAGTTATAGACTTCTGGCCGAATCTTCCAGGATTGGCTCACTTCAAGGCGTTCATTCACCCTTCGAAGCTTGATTCCAAACAGTTGTTGGACCATAGTAGGGATGAACTACCATGTCTAACAGGCCTTTTTAGAGGTCACTGTCATTTGAATCATCACATGCAGAGACTTGAACTATCGGAAGACAGTGTCTGTCGCCTCTGTCTGGAAAATGATGAAACTGCAGAGCATATACTCTGTGCCTGCCCCGCTGGGGACCGAATCAGGTTCTTTGAGTATGGCAGATACGTACTCTCACCATCTAACCTGAAAGAACACTCATGATACAAACTAATCGGCTTCGTTAAGAAGCTGGGTTTATTTAGCCGAGTGTGAATAGGTGTGAGCCACAATAAACCCTCATGGGTTGCGGTGGAGGGTCGAATGCACCCACTCACTTCAGACCTACCTACCTACCTATCATACCAACTTGTTATTTATTACTGATCGCTACATCATGACCAAAATCACACAAATCCTTTGTAAGTTGTAGCCTTTATGTTATTCTGATGTATAAGCTGGATATATGTAAAGTTTCATCCCAATCCGATCAGTCGTTTAGACGTGAAAGATTCACAAACTTATATACATACATACATTTTTCCATCTTCATAAACTTCCACATTTATAATATTAGTATAGATAGATGGTATATCCTTCCTCAAGATAGTCGATAAAAAATATTAAACCACACACATCAAAATACAAACTTTTCCAGCCGATTGTTGTACTTTTGGAAGCTTTGTACAAGGTTAACCAGTTGCTCCCCTCTCACATGACGATCGTTTTCAATCCGGAGTGAAGCGATGGATTTATGTTTCATCCATTGTCACATATTGACGCAAAAATTTCGTTTTTTTCATGTCGTTTTGTGTAGGTGTTGTTTTGGACATTTGTCTTTGCAATGTTTTTTATTTTTCAAATAAGTATCTAATATGTCTGATGGTTTCTAAAATAGTATTATCATCAACACGAAAAAACTATATTTCGAGCCATGAAGAAGAATTCAAATAAATTCGAAACGTCGGTAAAATTTTCTTTTTAAGAATGCAAAAATTTCAGTTTGTTATGGTATAAGATGGCGAAACACTACTCAGAATCATTAAGACTTTTTTGTATTTGTGAACAGTAAGCTCGCGCAACACCCACTTTGAAGAGAGCTGCCTTATAGTCAAATGCTCATGAAAATTGAGTTAACAACGTTCTATTGATGTCTTTACATCATCAACTAACTCGTGCAACTTCACTTCTCGATGATTGAAAACGATTTTGTGGATTGAAACGTCAAATACCTTCTGCATCATCGGTGTCCCTACGACAACTTTTGAAGTCAGCGAACCAACGTTTAATTGTTGTTTCTGATGGAACAGAGTCCTTATAATACTTGTTAAGTCACTGCTTCTTCCTAACATGTTTTTTCCCATCAGGAAGCAATGTAAAATCAAAACACGAAATTGTTTTTGATACATTGTTTCAAAAATAATAGGAGTAGTGTCACTATTAGCACAATATTTCACAAAGTCATGAGTAGAATATGATGAAATTTCAACAGCTTTTTTTT